TGGCACCATTATTGCATTTCACGAATCATGGCCATCTTCCATCCAATATATTTTTGAGAAATTAGATATAATCTCAAAATCGGACATTTTCAACAAATATACATAATTAATTAAAAAAACCAAAAAAGGTTGACAGCTGTGTGCACGTAGTTTAGATTCAAAAAGGAAAAACTTGTATTTCGTGCAAAACTTTTTTATTAATCAATGCAAAGCGCTTTCGGCTTATTTGCCATCATCAGTGCTCATCTACAAAAATTGTGGATGTAAACTTACAATTTAAAAAGATTTAAAAAAATATAATATAAAATCTGAATTAGACTTTTAAGTCAAAAGTTAAAATAGTATATATACAATTGTTTGAACAAATTAAAAATTACAAGAAACAGACAAAGTGACAAAAAAACCCGGTATTGGGAATAGTGAGTGTGGGATAAGCCCTTACAAATCAAATCTGATCTCCAAAAGCAAGTTAGCTTGTGTGGAATTAAGGAATCATGCCACCCTCACTATTCACAAAATTGAAAAAAGGTTAACAAATTAGTTAAAATTTAAAGAAATTTACAATTAGAGGGTGACTGTGGAAGATATATTGAAATTTGAATCTAGAATGCAATATTTGATATGAAGAAAGTGAAACGCAGAAGGCCAAAGTAAAAAAACTGAAGGTTTTTTTTTTATATATGTTTTATATACATTATAATTATGAAAAAGTCTACCTACTGTCCACAACGTATCCAACAAGTTCCTGGTCATCCTCACTCCCAAAATTATATATTTCGGGATGTTTACAACTTGCTAAATCATAATTTTATTAATATTAATATTTTCAAATTTAAATGTATCTCTTCATTTTTGGTTCAAGTTGTTTAACCGTTTCCACCATGGAGGAAGGATAATTAAGAGTTGCCGTTTCTTTGTATAAATATGGCAACATGTTTGCCTTCAGCGACATGTGGGATAGTTTTGTGCAACTAATACTCAGTCGGTAATATAAAAAGCTGTAATGCTATTTTAATTTGAAAATTGGCGGGCTTTTTAATTTACTTCGACAAAATATAAGAATTTTACATTTTTAATAGCATTTTTTTAACACGCATCTCAGGCGTGTTAAAAAATGCTAATAAAAATGTAAAATTTTATGTTAAATAATTTTAGAGGTAAAAAATAAATAGGTAATACAAAATTGTATTATAACTAAATATTATTTGTTGAATCTTTATTGGTTACAACAATAAACATAATATATATTTTCTGAATAAACAACTATTTTAAATAACACAAAACGAACTAAATTTTTCTTTAATCTTGAGAAATAAAACAAGAGTTCCATCCATAAATCCTGAAAAGAAAAAAAAAACAATTGTTGAAAGCGAAAAACTTCCTAAAGCACATGATTTTGATTGTATGTGACTAATTACTTTTGCATTTGCAGCGATTTAACTAATTTTTAATTTACTACTTCTAATTTCTATAACGTCTAATTAAGATTTTCTTGCTTTATGTAATGAAAATACTTTAGATTTATAAAGATTAAAAAGTTTGGTTATAATACATACAATTAAATTGGCATATCTAGGATAATTATCAAAATGAATATCAGAATTAAAACTTTGTTAAGGATTTCAATATTTGGGGATAATACAATTACGAATACGAATAATAATCCTTTTTTCGGTTGACAATAAAATGAAAATGTTTCTTCTAAAACAGTGTAAATGGGCCAGAACAATTTACTATTACAATCAAATATATGCATTTATAGGACATAGACATGCAAAAGTATCAAAATAAGTTTACTTACAGTAAATTATTACTAAATTTATGCCTAAAACTGTATTAAATAAAAGTAAAACTCAGAATTGTTTACATCGACAGCCATATTGTATTTTGTATCATTCGGCATTCGGGTTTCGTTTATCGAGTCGACTCGAGCTTTAACGAGATTTGGGTTTTGTTATCCAAAGCCAGGTTTACATTGTACAAATAATTAAATAAATTCATATTTTTTCAATTTTACGATTGATAAATTAAAAAAATGTGAAACTATTACTTTTGGCAAGTTAATAACACATTTTTATTGAGATATTTTGTAATTATTCTGTTTTCTTTATATTTTATATATAATTGTGTTATTGTAAAACGGACGTACGCCAGTTTCGATGCGCAGTAACTTGTTGACAAAATGCGCATATGCTATAAACCCCCGTTTCCACATGACAGTGGTGACAAGCGACACTTGAAGACTTTGACTTGTCAAATGTCAACAGAAGGAGGTGCGTTCACCTCAGTGTGGAACATGTTTCTCCGAGTGTGATTCGAGTGATTGGAGGTTAACGGAGATCAAAATTTGTTATTGAATTTAAAGATTTAATTTATTGTTAGTTGAATTTAAATAAATGTTTAATATAAAAGATATTATTATTTTGATGTCAAGACAAAACAAAAATGTCACTCGCGTGATTCAGATGTGTCAGCCCGGGCTCTGCAGAACATTCTTTCAGAGCCCGGGCTGACACATCTGAATCACGCGAGTGACATTTTTGTTTTGTCTTGACATCAAAATAATAATATCTTTTATATTAAACATTTATTTAAATTCAACTAACAATAAATTAAATCTTTAAATTCAATAACAAATTTTGATCTCCGTTAACCTCCAATCACTCGAATCACACTCGGAGAAACATGTTCCACACTAAGGTGAACGCACCTCCTTCTGTTGACATTTGACAAGTCAAAGTCTTCAAGTGTCGCTTGTCACCACTGTCATGTGGAAACGGTTAAACAACTTGAACCAAAAATGAAGAGATAAATTTAAAATTGAAAATATTAATATTAATAAAATTATGATTTAGCAAGTTGTAAACATCCCGAAATATATAATTTTGGGAGTGAGGATGACCAGGAACTTGTTGGATACGTTGTGGACAGTAGGTAGACTTTTTCATAATTATAATGTATATAAAACATATATAAAAAAAAACCTTCAGTTTTTTTACTTTGGCCTTCTGCGTTTCACTTTCTTCATATCAAATATTGCATTCTAGATTCAAATTTCAATATATCTTCCACAGTCACCCTCTAATTGTAAATTTCTTTAAATTTTAACTAATTTGTTAACCTTTTTTCAATTTTGTGAATAGTGAGGGTGGCATGATTCCTTAATTCCACACAAGCTAACTTGCTTTTGGAGATCAGATTTGATTTGTAAGGGCTTATCCCACACTCACTATTCCCAATACCGGGTTTTTTTGTCACTTTGTCTGTTTCTTGTAATTTTTAATTTGTTCAAACAATTGTATATATACTATTTTAACTTTTGACTTAAAAGTCTAATTCAGATTTTATATTATATTTTTTTAAATCTTTTTAAATTGAAGTTTACATCCACAATTTTTGTAGATGAGCACTGATGATGGCAAATAAGCCGAAAGCGCTTTGCATTGATTAATAAAAAAGTTTTGCACGAAATACAAGTTTTTCCTTTTTGAACATAATTAATTATTTGTCCGATATTAATGTAAAATACATATTGACAAGATTATTAAAATAGTTGTATGCCGGACGCCCCTATTTTCCCGATCGGGCGTTTTTGGTTATTTTTACTGCTAAAAACTTACTGCTAACTTCGCACCGGTGGTAATAGCTACCAAGCAATTACCCATTCTCACTATATACAGGGTGTTCCATCTCAGACGAGCCACCCCGTATAGTTCTTATCCCATAGTAATTGGAAAAATTTCCCGAAACACGTCTGATGATTTTCTTTGGGGGACATCTTTTGACGTATATTTGAGGCTTGAACGAGCAACCCCCTATAAGGGGGCGCTTCAACCCCTCAAAATTGAATAGGGAAGAGGGGTTGGGCGATACTTCATTTGTAAGGTCCTGATCATGAAAGCCTCTTTACAACGGTGTATGAAAAAAATCACATTCTTAAAAAAAATCAATTGTATTATTATGCTTACAATCAAAAAAATCAAAACTGCGTTTTTAAATGAAATGTTCAATTTGTCTTCCATTGACTTCCATGCAATAATAAATTCTCTCGAACTAATAAATAAAAAAAATCAAAACATTTTCTTATCTTGCCTTCATTTTTTGCTCTTAGAAGGTGTTTATCACGTTTCTTCGATCATTTGATGTGATAAAACAATTTTTTTTTAAGAATGTGATATTTTTCATACACCGTTGTAAAGAGGCTTTCAAGACCTTACAAAATAATGTATCACTCAACCCTTCTTCCCTATTCCATTTTGAGGGGTTGAAGCGCCCCCTCATAGGGGGTTGCTGGTTCAAGCCTCAAATATACGTCAAAAGATGTCCCCCAAAGAAAATCATCCGACGTGTTTCGGGAAATTTTTCCAATTACTATGGGATAAGAAATATACGGGGTGGCTCGTCTGAGATGGAACACACTGTATAGTTGTGATGCGACAGAATTAAACACTGGTCCATAAATACTGCAAAACGATTGGTTAAAGAAATCATTCAAAAAAGATGTAAGAATATTCTTGATTCAACAAAAGTATAAATACATAAACAACAAACATTTAAAAACGAATGTCCGATTTTGAGATTATATCTAAATTTCTCAAAAATAATTGTATGGGAGATGGCCATAATTCGTGAAATGAAATACTGGTGCCATCTATCAACAGATAGTCACACTATCGAGTTGCACATATTACTTGTAGATGCCGAAACTTGATTTTAAATGAACGCACTTTTCTCTCACGCTCATGGAGAAACGATTATTATAGCCAATTGCACCAACATCTATTTAAGCAAGGAATAGTAAAGGGTTCCTTAAAGATAAGGAGTCCTTAATTTATTATTTGCTTGCACCATCACTTCTTGAGGCTTCCTTAGCTAAGTATCTGTTACACTTGGCAACCTCGCAAAAATCTGGTAAATTATCTTTTTTTTTAATTTTATGTTGGATATGCTGCTAAAAAGTGAATTATTAAATAAAACCAACCTCACTTTTTATGTGATGATCACGATATTGCATCTTATTTTCGCCTTTTTTTATACGACCATAAATTTATAAAGCACGGAAACATGAGTGAAAGTGAAAATGAGCCGAGTTGTAGTAACCAAATTGCCCAAATTAAAAGAAAAAAACGAAGTGCTAATTTCACTCCCAACGAGACAATTTTGTTAATGTCCCTCATTAGTGATTTTAAAAATGTCTTAGAAAACAAAAAAACAGATGGAGTTTCTATGCAGGAAAAAAATAAAACCTGGAAAAAAATCACTAATGCATTTAATTCAGCATGTCCTGAAGGACGCCACCGAGAAACAGATTCTCTTAAAAAATTGTATGATAATAAAAAAAGAGAAGTTAGGAAAGACAAAGCTGAGGAAAGAAAAGAAGTGCTATTGACTGGCGGTGGGATATCAACAAAAAAAATAAGAGACCCAGCCCAGGAATTAATTTTATCAATTGTTGATCCACTATCGATTGTTGGAGGTACTAGCCTATATGGTTCAGATAGCTTGCCTCTCAATAATGTTACAATTCATCAAGACGATTTCTCCTTCGAGCTGGAAAATCTAGATGACAAACATGAAAGCGAAAATAAAACTGTAATAAATGAGGTAGGTAGAAATACAGTATTAGCTATTGAACTTCTTCCAATACGCCTTGCATGTGATAACTAATATTATAAATGATAAATAAATAAATAACTACAGAGAGCAGTGGAACAAGCCGGAGACTAATATTAGCAATGCCAGTTTATACATCCCAGCCAACGTAATGCTGGAGGGCCATATATACCGGCAATGCTGATGTTATTCATTTCCTGCTTGGTCTAATGCTAGCTCATTGTAGTTGTATTTGTGGTAAGGGCGATTGGAAAACATTTTATAAGTTGTATTGTGTATATAACTTTTTGTATATTTTGTAGGAGAAGAAACAAAAAATTGATAGATGTGAGCTAGAAGAAACTGGTTGGAAAAAAGGGTCAGACTTACTCAGACCGATATCGACACCTTTAAAAAGGCCCAGAGAAGAACTTGTAAGTAGCAGTACAGTAGGATTTAAAAAAAATAATAATTTTAATTTTTTAGCCATCACATAGTCTTGACGATATAAACGTCAGAAATGTAAATAATCCAATTCAGAGGCCGCTTAATAGAAGAAGACCAACTGAAACTGTTGTGAGGAGCCTGGCCTCAAACCAGCTGGCTGAAAAGTACAACATACTGGCTGACAAAAAAAATTTGATTGCAGATTATACTTTGAAAAAAATTAAAAAAGAAATAGAGCAATCAAATGAAGAGCATAATATGAGAATGAAAGCTCTAAAGTTAGATATTGAAATAAAAACTATCGACATTCAAATAAAAAAACAACAAATTCATAATTAAATCATTCATAGCAAAGTGATGTTTTATTTTTTAAACTGTGACCTAATATGTACATATTCAAGTAAAAATTTTATTGCAATACCATTATTCAACTTAACCTACACTTCTAATTCTCTAAAAAAGTTAATAATTTCCTGTTGGACATGATTTATATTGAAATTTCTAACTGCAGGTATGTTTACATTCTCGGTTTCTATAATGTAGTTTAGCTCATTTAGATTCATGTTTTCTGGTGGTGGTGGTTCTGGCTCGTTCATCTGTCTAGCAATATTGTGCAGCACTGTTGTTGCAATTATTATGGCTTTTGTTGTTTCTAAATTGAGCCTTATTCCATACGCTACAATGGGAAATCTTCTCTTCCATATTCCTATAATCCTTTCAATGAGATTTCTAGTCCGTACTAAAGATTCATTGAATAACTGTTCAGCTCTTGGTACAGGATTCACTAATGGCGTAAGCAGGTAGCTTTTTGTTGGGTATCCACTGTCTCCTGTAATAAAAAGTATAAATAAATAAGTACTTTCACACACAGCATTTTTATTTTGTTAGTGTTAATACCTAAGAGAACACTATTCGGAAAATGACCGGCTTCAAATCGAAATCTCAAATTGCTGTGACCAAATATTGTTGCATCATGAGCAGATCCAGGCCATCGTTCCACCACATCCAAAAATTGTAGATCTGCGTTTCCCACTACCTGAACATTTAAAGAGTAATAACCCTTTCTATTTTTAAATACCTCTGCATTATCACCTCCTAAAAGCAAATTATTTATTTATTGTAAAGTACTGTTTTATTTAGATAAAATAGGTGACAAAACAACTGTTTCGAGACCATAGGTGTGTTTTAGTGCTAACTAGGTTTATGATATCATAGTTAGCACCAAATACTACATATTGTTATAACTATGCCTGCGAAAAGTTTTTACATCTGTTACTTGCTTCATTTAAATAAAAATCAAACAGTATGTTTCAAATTATTTAGGATAATTTTTAATCTTACCAGGAGATTGTATTCTGATGTGAGTGCCATCAACAACTCCTAAAACACGGGGAAAGCGAGAAATATTATAAAATTTATTTTGTTCCTGTAGAAACTGGTTTTGTTCAGGCATTTTAATGTAACGAGGGAATAAACTGGCAATTATCCTCGACACTTTACTAATAATCCTACATGCTGTACTAATGTCCATTCCCATAAAGTCTGCTACCTGCCTTAGATGACCAGCACTGGCATAATAGCGAAGGCAGCACAAGACCTGATTCATAGGTGAAACACTGTTATTTCTAAAAAAAATATATATTATTTTCTTATTTTGACTTTATTTATTTTGTTGTTGCAAAAGAGCCATATTTTTTTATCTACTTAGTCACTATTACTATACCTACCTATTATGAGCATACTCTAGCTGGTCTTCTATCTGAGTCAAAATACTTATAACCGTTTCCTTAGTTAGCCTAAACCTTCTAAAAAAACCAATAGGATCCATTTCTTCAAAGTAATTTGATCTATTATAAATTTTTCTCGGTAAACCTGCTTCAATCATTTCCACAAGTTCTATGTCGTCTTCAATGAAATCTGGTTCATCACCTAAATATTCTAAGTATTCCATTATCACTATTATGGTATAAAATCATAAAACTTTATAACCCTGAACCGATCAAAAATTGTTACCAGAAAAATACTGACACCAAATACAAAATATAACCTCAAAACTTTGTTAAATGATACATAAACGGCGCTAAGGATCGTTTAAGTGATGGCTAGCGAATGCTTAGCAAAGGAAGTTTTAAGGAGAGTATAAGCATTCCTTAAGGTTGGTGCAATGAAATTTTTGATTTTATGGGTTGCTTAGTGGTAAGGGCTCCTTAAAATCGTTGGTGCAATCGGCTATTAACTCACGTTCAGGCCTCGCAACGAAATGGAGACAGGCGTAACAAAAAAGCTACAAAAAAGTTACAAAAAATGAGCCTGGTCCGAGCTGGTGCCGCTACAAATATCCGCTAAGCTAGCGGATCCGCGCTTTTCTCAGGTTCAGTACAAGCTACAAAAGGGAGACTAGCGTAACAAAAAAGTTACGAAAAACCAGCTGGGTCTGAATCTGTGCCGCTACTATGGAATTTATGGAAATTCAAGTTAGCGGATCCGCTGTTTTTTCGGACCTGGGCAAAGCTACAAATTCGCAAATAGCGTAACAAAAAAGCTACAAAAAACCCACCAGGGGGTCGATTCTCGACTCGTAGGAATTTTTTCCTATAGGAATTTTTGACATTTTTCTACACATCGGAAATTTATGACATTTGTCTACATGTAGGAAAGTGTCACAAATTCCTATAGGAAAAGGTTCCTACAAGTCGAGAATTGACCCCCAGGGGTAGTATTCTCGAATCACGAATACCGACATTCGCATACGTGTTTTACAATGTATCTCACTTTGTTGAACGAAAACCAAGTGAGACAAATCATAAATCTCGCATGCGAATCTATATTCGTGACTCGAGAATACTACCCCTGGTCTTGTATGGTGCCGCCACAGAGTGCCCGCTAGCTTGATATAGCCCCCAGTTCGACCCGCTTTTCATCGTTTTATTTACGAGTACATGATCAATCTATATGACCATATAAATCGGTAGGCGACAGATTTCAGTGCGGCAACACCACAAGGCAACACTGTTTAATGTTTAGAAGCGGTTTGACTTTGACACATTTGACTTTGACAGCTTGTTTTTTTTTGCTGCAAGCAGGTTAAAGCACAAAAGTGTGGTTATTATAACATAATTTATTGTTTTTGTTTATAATTAACGTTTATTTAATTATTAAAACGATGAATTTGAAACAAGAACCCTCCGATTCATATGTAGGGGTTGTTAAAACGGAATCAGGCGTTGTTTCCGAGCAAACAGAGGAAAATGATTGGTGTTCTATAAAACAAGAACCATTTAAAAACGATCATTATATTCTCGGATTTGGCGATACTGACGATAATAATAGCGAATATAAAGTTACTGAGTATTTAGTAAATGTTGGTAAATTTAAAGAAGAAATAGACGAACGTGTAGTGCCGAAAATTGAATATCAACTTCAGGATTTTCCAGAAAAAATCGAGTGTGATTCAATACAATTTGTTTCTGACACTATTAAAAAAGAAATTGATGTTTACGATGTCGTTGACATTAGCGAAACCAAGCAAGAAGTTAGTGATAGTGAATATAAACAATTTAAAACTGAGACAGAACTCTTGACTACTTATTGTGATTTACCCACTTTAAAAAGTGAAAGTACTGAATATTTGGACAATTTCGTACAGCCATGTAGCAGTAAATATGAGGGAAATACATTGAAAACGTTAAAAACTACAACAAATGTTATTTTTAAGAAAAAGAAGAAGCTATATCGTTGCCTTATCTGCCAAAAAAGTAAGTGTGTTCTTTAAATACAAATAATTGAGTCACATTGAATTTGATTTGATTTTTATTTTTAAAATTAACACCTTTACTCTGATCAGAAAGATATAAATTCTATTATTCAGTTATCTAGAGCTACTAACCCTATCCCTTTTCAGAAACTAGTAGATTATTTATTCAATTTTGTGATTGAAATCTGTTTTTAGTTTAGTAGTTTA